GTGTACTTTAGCAGTTGTTCCTTCCTTAGCAATGAAAAAACTGAAAAACACAATAGCATACCGTGTCCAGACTCTGTGTATTTTCCATCTTTACGTGGCTTATTTATTTATCTATTATTACTCTATTTCATTTACTTTTATTTTTCTTTGAGACAGGGTTTCTCTTTGGAAATCGGCCTGCCTCTGCCTCTGCAGCAAATCCTACCGGCGTGCGCCACCACAACCAGCTTCTCTATTATTTACCACCTTGCCGTTTCATTTTGTCTCTTAATCTTATGTATATTTTTAAACACACTGTAAACCTTTAGAAGTTTTTCTTCATCCAAGTCTGACTTTACTGTAAATTTTTATGTTTTTCTGGCCACGTGTCTTATCTGTTAAAATCGCGGCTGTTTAAACTGCCGTTTTTCCAAGATGGCGGGCGTAAGCGTGACTCCAGCTGCTGGCTTGGAGATGTGGTCACTGCCACTTCCAGCTGTGCTTACACACCTTTCAATTGTTAGCAGAGCCTCTCAAAAGAACCTTGCTGGCTTTTTTTCCTTTTGCTTGCTTATGATGAGTCATCAGGAAGACTCCCTTAAGCGAATCGCATGAGTCTCTGCTTGTCGCTAGCAAAACAGAGCCCACCTGAGAAAATGCTGCTACCAAAAATCTTTGCTTCTCTCTGTTCTTTTGTTTCTAAAACTCCTTTAAAGCTTTTGTCATTCTGCATGGAAATTCATGATCCCACTCCTGATCACCATTTTGTAAAGGGAAGCCTTTTCCTTGAGAGAAGCCTTCCTGCCAGCCTGGTTCTAGAGACGCATCAGTCCCAAATAAACACACAGGAGGCTATATTAATTATGAAGCTGTTGGCCTTGATTGTTTCTTACTGGCTAGTTCTGACTTAAGTAATTACCCCATAATTGTTAATCTAAGTATGCCTCTTACCAGAGAAGTTTCCGGGCTTCCTACCCCATGGCGTTACATCTCGACTCTCCTGGATAGACTTTTTGATGCTTATATCTAGATGGTTCATCCCAGAGTGTTTATTATTAAGTACCTGCTGAATGCAAGGCATGCTATCAGTGCTGAGGACACAATGTCACCCCTGCTGGGAACAGGTGTTATTTTAGTTTCTGGGGATACAACCATGACCATACACAGTCCCTCATGGAGTTAAAGGTTCACTGGGGAAGACAGATTTGTCAACTCACAGTTCTGACAGTATATACAGGCAAACGAGTTGAATATATATAGTCTGGGAGAGGAGACCTTCACAGGGCAGAGATACCTGAGCTGATCTCTGAAGGAGGCATAGGAAGTGACCAGGGAGAGAGAGCAGAGCATATCCCAGTTAGGGTCACTGGTTCTGCAAAGGCCCTGGGATGGGGTGTGTGCAGTTGAGGAAGAGAATGTTCTGTAGAGAGCAAGGATATGGAATTGAGATCACAGTGGTTAGAAGGACAGGCCTGTGGTAGTCATGACGTGAATCCTATCTTGAGATGGAGGGAAAATTGGAGAATGGTCACATCAGCTCCAGCTTTGTAACAGTGACACACACCTGCCTCTTCTGCAGCTCAGAGTTCTGCCGGTTGGCAGTAGGACTGGGCTCTGCTTGTGGCTTTCTGCTCTGACTGGGGCTCAGCTCACCTTCATGAGGCTTGTGCTCATCATTCAGGTCCCATCTGGAGTGTGATGGGCTCAAGAATGAGAAGGAGAGGGCTCCCAGGGAATCGGAGCTACTGCACCACCTAGGTTGCTGGTGCCTCCTAGATACCCCTTCTTTGGATTGCTGCTCTTTGCAGGATGGGGAACATTTCACCTTTGTATTGATAATTGTGTGTGTGTGTGTGTGTGTGTGTGTGTGTGTGTGTGTGTTTGTGTGTGTTACTGTGACCACATACTTGACAGAAGCAAATCAAGGGGAAAGGTTTATTTTGGCTAATGGTTTCAGATGATTTGGTCCATCATGGTTGGGGAAGGCATTACAGATTGGCTCCATCTGTGCTGATGGGAGTGTGTGGCATAGACTGTTCACATCATGGTTAACTAGGAAGCAGAGAGCCCAGCCGGGACTATGGGGAGGATATAACCTCCAAAGGCCTACCCCTAATGGCTTGCTTCTACCAGCCAGAACCTGCTTCCCAAAGGGCCACAGCCTTTAAGATTTTACCACTTGCCGAGGGCAGAGCGTTTGACACATAAACTGAGGGAACATGCAGATTCACACTATGCACACATTCAAGGTAGGAGAGGCTGGAGGCGGGCAGGCTCTGTGATGCGGGCATCACGCCAGGGTCCCAGTGTCTCAAGGCTGAGTCAGTCTAAGACAAGACACAGTTACTTATTCTCTCCCCGTTTCCAACAGTCTTCCCTCATCACTGCCTCCCTTGGGATTCATCCCAGAGAGCTCCCACAGGAGGACACAGCCTGAGATGTTGTCTTCTCCCTTCCCACGTGACCCAAGTTTCTGGCTCAGGAACTTGAAGAGGAGCAGGAGTGTGAATCCAGAGAGGTTGGTACTTCAGCAAGGAAGAAAGGCACGGTACCATTAGGGCTGCAGGCTGAGGCCAGCATGAACTTCGGAAGTGAGGCCCTGCTGAGCAGGCCTGTGAGGTCTGCTGGTCGGATGCCTTTCCCGCCTACACGGAGTCTGAGAGTCTCCTTAGTCTGCTAGCCAGCCAGAACTGGCAAACATCTCTCTTCCCAGCTTAGGTAATAATTTAGGAGCCAGCACCCGTGACCACCCATTGCTCTAAGTCCACTGACACCCTCAATCCTGGGACAGAGGGCAGGGAAGGAAAAGTTACCTACTTAATAGGCCTCCCCCCACATTTCTGCTTGGTCCCTATGCCGGGGTGGAAGGAAATCCCTCAGACACATCTGTTGGACACATGTGAGGAAGGATGGGGTGGCCCTATGCATGTGCATTCAGTACTATTTTACTCGGATCCCGAGCCACCCATGACATCACACTGCCCTCCAGACCTCCAGTGATGCTGAAGACAAGGAAGTGGCTGTTGGAGACTGAGAGATGAAGGATCCTCTCGTGGGCTGCCACCCCACATGCCTCAGGCAGGAAGGAGAGAGAGGTGCTGTGCTCAGAGTTCCCAAGAAGTGGTACACTCAGCTCTGTTCATCGGTGGCCCTCTACCAGGGACACTGGAGTCTGTAAATGTCTTTAGAGCAGAGCCAGGGTAGAGAGCTCAATGGTTGTCACGGACTCCAGAGCTAGAGTCTGTGTTCAGACCCCAGTTCCTCCACTTACACAGAGACATCTTATTTGTCACAGCTGCACACTGACCAGGTGGGGTTTGCTGCGTCTAAGTTATGGCGGGCCACCAGCAGGCGAGTGCCCGGGTGCTGGGGAAGTGCTGGATGGCCCTCTGCAGTTGGACAGAAGCAGATCACTGTGTCTTCTTAGGACTCCCCCCCCCCCCCCCGCTCAGTCGACTCCTGTCTTCTCTATGCAGGACACACACTATTCAGCCTGCCCCCTCCCATTACCTCCCTGGCCCTGCAGAGTTAAAGGCATGGGAGGAGAAGACCCAGGACAGCCTAACCCCCAGTAGTCCTGGCTTGAACACAGACACAGTCTGGTGCTGTGATTTAGATTTCGAGTATCCCCTAAAGGCTCAGCGGGGGCACTGTTAGGAGGTAGTTGCATCCCTAGACCACCCTAGAGGGTGATACTGGAGTCACAGCTCCTTCCCCCTCTTTCCTGGCTGCAATGCTGTGAACAGGCCTCCTCTCCTACATGCTTTCCCATAGTGCACTGTGCCGCCAGAGGCCCAAAAAGGCAGGGCCCATGACCACGGACTGGACACTCTGGAACAAGTTGCCTCCACAAGCCTCGTCTCTTTGCTGATTACTGTATTTTGCCACCAATGCAAGGCTGACACAGTCTGGGGACTTTAAAGCCAACTGACTTGCAGTTCACAGAGTGGGGCAGCCTGGGCGGTGCAGTTTTAAACGTTTCCCAGTAATTCTGATGAGCAGGTGTAGGGGACCCATGGGTGTAGGGGAAGATGAAGCTGTGGATTGGGTGTCTCAGTGGATAGGAGGTATCAGGGACTGTGGGACAGTGCCTCACACAGGGACCTGCTATGCCAGTTGGGTTTGAAGAAGCATCTGTGGTGAAGGACATGAAAGCTTGTTACATGGAGAGACAGGCTTGGTCTTGGTGTCATTGTGCCTAAGAAGCCTGTGGCTTCCATGATGAGATGCAGTGTGCTGTAGGCCCCCCCTTCTCAATCTGTGTGCTCATTTTTCTAACGGGGGAGGGGTGGTCAAGCTTCCCTCAGAGTTAAGTGGGGGCTCAATGCTGCAGCTGCGTCTGTGCCCCCCTCAACATTTGTGTGTGTGCATATGTGTTTGCGTGTATATGTGGTACATGTGCAGGCACATGCTCATGCGCGTTTGCAGGAGTGTGTGTGGGCCGGAGGTTGATGTGGGGTGTCTTCCTCAAGATCTTTCACAGGATTAGGAGTTTGCTGGCAGGCAAAGTGGCTGGCTGGTAAACTTCGGGGATCCTCTTGCTCTCCATCTCCCCAGGACTAGGATTGCAGGTGTGTACTACATGGATCCTGGGGGATCAAGCTCAGATATCCATGCTTGTACAACACCACCTTGCTAGCTAACCCATCTCTGAAGCTCCTGACTCCTACATTGAAATGGATTCTCCCAACCCCAGGTACTAGGAGGTGGAGATAACATGAGGTGTTTGGACCACAGGGGTGAAGCCCTCATGAACAGGATTAGCATCTTGGTGAATTATGCCACAGAAAGTGTCCTTGCCCTTCCTCCCTGTGACATTACGGGGCAAAGGCAGCCATCTATGATCAAGTGGCCCCTCCTGTCAGTGCCTTGGACCTTAGACTTTGAAGCCTTTAGGAAACAGTGGCCCAGGTGATTGGCTTGGCAGCAGTCCATGTGGAAGCTATAGTTGGTTCTTCAGTGAGTTTGGGCTGCTTTCCCCGTAGCCTGGCTAGGAAGACACACACAGACCCAAGCATGTGTGACCTCTCCAGACACTGTTTATTGTCTTTCGGGCCCCCTCAACTTTCCTTCTGGTGCCTCCTAGATGTTTTGCTGCCTCTGGCCTCTTTGTGCACCCAGTTGTCCCCCAGATCTACAAGTTTAGCTCGGGGAAGGGTTCCACTGTTCTGAGAAGGGAAGGGGCCAGGGTCTCAGGCCTCCAACCCTCTTAGGTAACATTCATCCATGGCCTGGAGTTGCCACTCCAGCAGTTCCTGGTGGGCTGGTCTCTGAGTCTATGTAGCAGTAACCACATCATTGTGCCACCATAGGGAGCATGGTCCAACCATCTGCACAAAGGGCTGTCCCTAGCTTCCCACTTTTGCTTTTCTAAGACCCACATAGGAACACAAACAGTGCTCCCAGCCTTTGCTCTTGGATGGAACATGGTTTGTAGCTGTCTTCAAAGAACTAGAGAGGGAAGTACAACTCTCCCATGGGTGATGCTCTTTGGGGACATGGGTTCTTTGGCATATCACAAGTTCTCTATGAGCTAGTGGTACTCCCAGATGGGCTGAGCTGCTGGGAGTTGTGAGGGCATTCTCTGTGTACCGTGTCCCCAGGTTGGTGCTTTTGTGGGCAATGCCTGCTATGACAGAGCTCAGCAGGAATGAATTCCCCAAGTTTCTTGACTTGGGCCACTTGTTTCTTCAGAGCACATGGTGGTTGTAGATGGTGTTCATTGCTTGTAATGGGTTCATCATGGAAGGTTCTACCTTCCAACAGTTCTTAAAGCAGGTGTCAGTTGTCGCTGCTTTTCTTGGAGCTGATGGATTTGATGGATCTTATGGATAACCTGCGCCGAGGTTCACGGTACTTGATGCTCTTCCCACAGGTGGTTTTGATACAGTTGGCCCAGCATGGAGGCTTCTTGCTCCAGTTCTTCTTATAACCACTTCCCATGTAGATGGTCACATCGCCTACTTCTCAGCAGATGGTGCTGTGTGTGACTTGTCTGTTGATGGTCATTGCTATTGAAGATACAGCGCCCACTTCTTCAGCTCTTTCTACGTTACCAATGATTGTCCCAGGTCAATCCGGGCTTGTTGGGTCCTCATGTTTGCGTATTAGCAGGAGCTGAAGAGTCTCCTCTTAAAGTCATGGGCTCCTGGGTGGAATTCTCAGCCTGGGCGGGCTTCTCAGCCTGGGTGGGCTGGCTGCTGCTTTCTTCTGTGTCCTTGGCCTTGTCCTCCTGGAGATTTGTGTTGCTTCTTGGCTCACCCTGCTCACTGCAGTCCACCCTGATGTTCTGGACACTGTTAGCCTTGCTGGAAGGCCTGCTGTTGGTGGAACTGAGAAGTCCACTGCTCACCTGGTAGGATAGGAAGCTGCTGCCTGGGCTAAGGAAGCTGATGCTACTCAGGCTGTTGATCCTGCCACTAGGCAGACTGGTGTTGCTTTTCCCCTCCAGCCTGCTGGGTGTCCTGACCTTGGCTCTTCAGTCTTCGAATCTTTAATGCACCTGGAGAGGACTTGATGGACTGCTCACTGCTCTGGGTGCTGTTTACTTGGGTGGTGAGCCTCTTAGTTAGCCGCACAGTTTGCTTGCTCTTAACCAGACTGGCCTTGCTGCTTTCCTCATCGGCTGAGTAGCCACTACTTGACAGGGTAGAGATACTGCATGCCTCTGTCTTAAGGTGTTGTGTGCTCTTCTTGAGGCTCTCAAGGCTGTGGGGTGTTCCCAAGGTGCTGTAGACAATCCTTAGGGGTTTCTGGATGGTTGCTGAATTGCTAGACTCCACATGTGGCTGGAACTCTAATTTGGGTAACGATGGGCTTGGCCTTTGCTCTTGAGCATTCCAGACAGAAGACCCCCCTTTTTCCACCTTAATGGTGGGGGGCAGTGGGATTGGTTTATCCAGGAGGGGGGCCTGGAGGCCTCTGAATGTTCTTTGTGGTCTCTCTAGGGAGAGGCAGCTTAGTGTTTGTTCTCATTGGCCAGTTTGGTTTCCATGGTGATGGCACTTATGAGGCGGGGGTGGGGGGGAGGGAAAACAGTGTTTCGTTGGCAGTAGTTAGTCACATCAGTGGCAATGACCAGGTTGGGCAGAAAACAGGTTCATGGCCATAGCGGGTGTGTTAATCATTGTGACAGAAGACCCTGGAGAAGCTCAACAATTTAGTCTACTATCCTGGAGGTTTCAGTCCATCGTGGTGGTCAGTACTCAGAGGCTGGGAGAACACCTGAGTGGCTTTATCCTTGCCCGTTATGCCCTTCAGGCACCCAAAGGGATGGTGCTGACACTGAGGGCAATTTCCACCTTGGGAACACATGTGCACACACACTTCATTGATATCCTACGGGCTTCTCCATTGAGAAGACTATCCAGGGTGTGGGAACCATCTTTCAGGGACAATTCTGAGGGGGCTTAGGGCCTGCTTTGCCTCTGTCTCCTTGCTGAGGGGTTATGAGGACTGTAGAGAATTCAGTCAGGTTGAGCTCTGAATTCCTTGCCAGACCTCCAAGGTTCTGCCGAGTCAGGCTCTCCCAGCACTATCCCAGGGATTCCTTCCTTGTTCTCATGCACCCAGTCATGCTGGCCACTGCTTTCTTTCATTCTCTTGAAAGAGATGGCTCAGCTGGTAATCTGAGTGATGTAGGGGAGTGGAGACAGGAGGACCGATGGTGTTGGATGGCGACCAGCCTAGCTTCAAGTTCAGTGAGAGACCCTGTCTCTAAGGAGCAAATTTATAGAGCAGGACATGGAGAGTTATAGAGCAGGACATCTTGGCTTCTCCCTGCAACACACACACACACACACACACACACACACACACACACACACACACACACTGTACATACATAGTATTTATTGGTATATAGTTATGCATAACGTCGGGTTTCAGGTGTGTCATTTATTTGACCATGTTCACCCCCTTACTTCCCTCCCCCGCCCTGTCACCACCTCACTCCTTGCAAGTCTCCTTCGCTCTCAGCTCCACTTCCACTTCCATATAAGCTCAGATACACATACACACACAAAGTTTTATGTGTATGTGTAAAGTTTTATTTATCTCTAAAAGTCTTTTTGAGACTGGCTTATTTTGTTTCTTATGATGATCTCTGGTTGCAAACAATACAACTTCACTCTTTATGGCTGAACTCCTCTGTGCACATAGATCAGTATCAGGTTTTCTTTGTCTTTGTCTCTTGATGGGCATCCAGGCTGATTTCATAACTTGGCTGTTGTGGGTAGTGCTGAAATAAACATGAATGTGCAGGTCACCATGATGTCTGTTAAACTTGCCAAAATTTCATGTCACTCTAGTCAGAATGGTTATCACAAAGAAAATAACATGCTGTCAAAGATATAGAGACAGGGGGATCTTCATATACTGCAAAAAATGGAAGTATTACAGTAGAATGTTTGCTTAGTATGATTCCCTGGGCTTGATTGCAACACTGCATGAAGAGCTGACCACCCACACCCAGCTACAGCCCCTCTCCCCTTCCAGCACTCAAAAGAAAACCAAGTTCCTCTCTCCCCTGGAACAGGAGCCTCCAGATAGCAAAGCCCTAAATGGAGAAGGGTGATAGGTGGGACAAGTGACCACAGTCACTTCACAATGCAAATTGGGATTGCAAATTCGACAAGCCACCATAGAAATCAGTCATTCCTTAAAAAACAAAAGCAAAAGCAAAAGCAAAGCACTGAAAATTGAACTATCGCATGACCCTGCTATAGCACTTTTCTTACTTCCAACCCTTCCCTGCTGCAGGGTACACAGCTGTCCCCATGACTCCCTGCTTTTCCTTTTGCCCCCTTTCCTCCTGGCTTCACACTTTCCAGGAAATCTCTCTAGCCTGCCCAAGAAGAGTTCCTAGAGGCCCTCGCATTCTTTATACCTCCTTCTAATCTATATTTGAAGGACATGATGAACTACATTGTTATTCATGGCCAGTTCCCTCCACAGTGTAACGGCTCTGAGGAGGCAGCACCTGCCATCAAAGGACACACAGTGGGATGATTATTAGTGAACACTCATAGTTCTTTATTGAGTAGCCAATAAGATTAAGAAATACATCGAGGGAATTGAGGCAGTCATTAAGTGTTGGGGAGGAATGGGCCTTCCTTCAAGTGAGGACATTATCCTCCCAGCAGGCAGCATGGGCAGGGTCTGAAGCCAAATCCCCAGACTGTACAGAGAGCATCTTTGCTTTTTTTTAAGGGTCTGTGCTGGCTAGTTTTATGTCAGCTTGACACAAGATAGTCATCTGAAGGAGTGAACCTCAATTGAGAAAATACCTCCATAAGATCAGGCTGTAGGCAAGACTGTAGAGCATTCCCTTAATTAGTGACTAATGTGGGAGGGCCCAGCAGGGCCCAGCCCATTGTGGGAGGGGCTTCCCCTGGGCTGGTAGTCCTGAGCAAGCCACAAAGAGCAAGCCAGCATCAGCACCTGCCTCCAGGTTCTTGCCTAGCTTGAAGTTTTGACTTGGCTCCTCTCAGTGAACTGTGAGTCAGGATTTGAAAGTCAAATAAATCCTTTCTTTCCTTTTTAAAATTTTTGTTTTTGATTGCGTTTGGTCATGGTTTTTCATCACAGCAATAGTGACCCTAACTAAGGCAGGTTGTTTGTAAAGGAGTAGGGAGGCAGGAGGTACTGTGTTATGAGGAGATGGTCTGCTAACATTGCCAAACTAGACTAAGGTGCTATATTGTTCCATAGCTCAGGCTGAGGTAGGTGCTTGAAGAGTCCCACAAACATTTCTGACTTAGGGGTGTCTGTAAAAACAATGGATCTCGATAGTATGTGAAATGCCGTAACCACTTGTCCAGCATGTAACCCTTTTCTATTTAGGGCTTTGCTCTCTGGAATGGCCTGTTTCAAGGAGAGAGACCTTGACTTTTTTGGATGCTGTGATGGGAGAGAGGCTGCAACAGGGTATGATGAATCAGCTCTTCATAGCAGACATGAGAGAAGGAGACTACACGCAGAGGGTCTGGGTTCTAACAATAGTGGTTGCTAAGTAGCTTTTAAAGGTGTTGACAATAAATCAAATTTATATGTACAACTTTCAGCACACTACTGCTACACACTTGCTTTCATCAACAGAAGAAAGATGCAAGGCAACTCCAGCCTTAACATGTGTGAGATGGATGACCCCTCTGCTTTGCCTAAATCTAATAGGTCTGGAGCAGGCTGGCTTGCTGTGTTTGCATCACAGGGAGAAGAAAAGTTCTCCTTGGAGAGAGGAGCCTTTAGCATCTTGATAGCCATCAACACAGTCACTGCTAATTGTCACTGTCATCCCTGTGCTGTTTCTGGGAGCTGAGTAGCTTCCATGTTCTGTACAGAGGCATCCAGAAATGATAAGCTTCCCCGGGGAAAGGAGAAGAGAGGGGATGGTCTTCTAGTTGATTGACTTCAGCCTTGTGCTCCCTCCGAAGGGCTGGGAAGTAGAGTCACTTTGTGCCTTCGGTGGTGAAGCTCAGTGTAAGGGACATGGTGGACTGATGAACCAGCCTGCCTTCATCTGAGGCTTGAAAGCCATCTTACAGTAAAGACAAACTAGGTTTATTTCTGTTTATGATTAAGTCTGTTTCTCCAGGATTGGGCCATGCCCCACCTGTAACCTTAACTACAAATGGTTCTGTACTACCTGTTCCAGAAAACAGCAACCATGCCTTAGTTTGAAACGGTTATTATGTCCACCTTGCAACTATGTCTCTGTTTCAGGTTGTTATGACCAACTATGTTCTGCTTCTGCAATCTTGCCTATTTGTCTGCCAAATTCACCATTTGGAAACCCCTACTACTGAACTATAAAAACCCTTATCTACCCTATGGCCAATACTGATCTCTTGATAAGACAGCTGTATACATAAACAAAAAGGGTATGTTTAATTAATTTGTCCATGATGATTTGAGTCAGAGGTCTTCCTCCTTGTGTCTGTGTGATTAACAGAATCCAACAATGTAGACAGTGAGAGTGAGATCCAGCTCTTCCAGGAGCTCATCTGTGAGAAACAGGGGAGAGCACTACATAGATGGTTTAGGGATTCCCTCCTCCCCTTCCCCAACCTCTTTCCTTTCTTTTTTGACAGGTCTCCTTTATCCCAGACTGGCTTCAAGCTCCCTAACCAAACTTAAGCTTTACCTGTTACTCCTGCCTCTGACTCCTGAGAGCATTACAGGAGAGCATCACCATGCTTGGTTTTTATATGGTATTGGAATCAAGCCCAGGGATTCACGTTGGCCAAATATTCTACGGAGCTACCCCCAGCCTCTCACAGTTGCCTTTCCATAGATGAATAACCAAGAGTGCAGACACTGCCAGTGTATGTTCTACGGGGTTTAGTTTTATCCCAAAGGTTCTTATGTTTTCTTATCCTGCTTACTCCTACATTAAAAGCCTCAGTGTAAGGTATCTGGATTGGACACTACCATTTCTCATATTCTGGGGAAGAGAACAGCACTCAAGAGAACTTCAGAAAACTGATCCTCGGCAGCAGCCTTCTAATGAAACACCCATCCCCAACACTGCCACAGAAACACCTGCTGTGTCAGGCACCAGCGTCCCAAGCTTGTTCACTAATCTGCAATAACATCTAGACCCTTATTCCATATTTCTTTACACAGGCATTTATGGGGCTTTCTCAGTGTTAGTGCATTATCTCCTGCCTTTTGTGATCTGACAGTCATGGAGGGAGTGAGCAGATGTGTTATGGGAGAATATAAATGTTAGGACAATAAGGTAGAATTAGTGAGGTGTGTGTGTGTGTAAATGCTTGCATCCATTCCTGCAATCAGAGCAAGAAAGTTGTAGAAGTGGACGTCATATGTAGGCTACAAGGAGGGTGGCAGTGTGTTCTGAAAGGGCTTTGGAATTTCTTCTGAGTGTTCTGGGAACTGCTGAAACATTCCAGCAGAAGATCTGGCTCAGGATGTCCTGTGAAGGACAGTGTGGAGGGCCAGGGAGAGGAGTCAGGAGCTGGGCAAGACTGACATGATCATTTTGGGGCTATAAGAGCTGGGTACCCAGAGTGGCTTTTGCAGTAATCTTGGGCACGAGGTTGCTTGGGGAAGGGCAGTAGAGACAGAAATGGTGAGTCACTGGCCTGCTTTGGTTCAAAACCTGTGACCACCATTGAGGTGACATTTCAGGATCCGCTTAACTTCACCAAACCTCAGCTCCCACACATGGAAAATGAGTGGTAACAGGGGTGTTACCTCTCACAGGGGTGATGTGATTGACACAGCAGTCAGGACCAGCCTGCTCCTTCAGGCTTTACCAAAGATGCTTCAGTTATCATGGAACCGTCTGCTTTAAAGCAGAGTATATGTGTGTGCATATGAATAACACACAGTCGTGTGTGGACATGGAAGTATGTGTACAGGAATACATGTGAGTGTACATGTATCCGAATATTCAATGTTTTATTTTTTACAATTTAGTGAATGTACACATGAACTTTGGGCCATTTTTTACTCCATTATTCTCTCAGGCTCTCACTGAAACCCCTATTCTTCACAACGGTCCCACTCATCCTTTGATCTGTCTTTTTTCTTTTCTTTGGGTCCTTCAGCATGGGAGACAGGTTTCTGAATACCTTCTTCATGCATGATGATGAAATGGTGATGGGACTGATCTCGTGCAGTCTGTCCGGACAGCCATATCTGCAGTGGGTCAATTAATTTTAATTTATTTCTTGATAAATTCAGATATGAGTGCAACGTATTTAGGTTATATCTACCCCCTTCTCTTCCTCTCCAACTCCTCCTGGACTCCTGTATATTCTCTCCCTTCTTCTTTAAAAAAATAGCTCACAGAGTCAAATCAGTGCTGCTTATATGTGAATGTGTTCAGGGCACCATTCACTGGAGTGTGGGAAACCTATCATGATCACTTGGCTTAAGAAAACTGGCTCTCCCTTCCCTAGAAGCCATCAGTTGCCAATAGCACCTCAGTTATGTGTTGGGCCTCGTGAACTCCATCCATACTCAAGTCTTGAGTGGCTTGATCTCGTGCAGGTCTTGTGCTGGCAATAGTGCTGCTCTGAGTTCATGAATGAAGTGACTCTGCCTTTCCCATAAGACATAATATTCCAAAGCAATCTTCCTTACCTTTGGTTCTTACAAGATTTCTGCTCCTTCCCCTGTGATGTCCCCTGAGTCTTGGTCAGAGTGTTATGGAACCTTTCAAACGATAAATCTTTCCTTCAGCACCCACTAATGGGGGTATCTCCCCACCAC